TTTCCCCGACATAACATTTTCCTGACAAATTTAGCTTGGTGTACTAAGCAAAAATATTGGGGAGGACCTTTATATATTCTAACCCTAACCTGTTAATTCCATGCAAAACCAGCCAGTTAATACATTATATCACAATATCGCTTGTCAGGGAAATCTCCATTCGGGGAAACATCATGTCGGGTAAATGAGTTCGGATAAATTAATATAGAACACGTTAGCGTTAGACTAGAAATTCTGAGTTTTACATTATTTAATTAACTTCGATATAAACATTGCATTTGTCAATTAAATTTAATATCGATATCACGATCATGTCTGATTTATTGGAATAATAAAGTCTCTTCTTTTAATATCGATATATCAAATACAGTTTAATGCAGAATTGATTTACACACACGAATGGAAGTTTTATAACACAAAACACATAAGGTAGCCCACCCTATTTTCATGCACTTTTTATTGTTACATATAAAATAATTTATATAGTTAATATTTTTTTATATATAACTATTATCTGTTGGTAAAGTTCACATAGACTCAATCTCTAATTGCAAGTCAACGTCTAATATTAACCAATTAATATCTCTTTTATCTTGTTCTAAATCTTCAAGAGTGGATGTTGCAAAATTTTTTGCATGATTTAATGCTCTTTCATTAAAAGTAATATTATTGATAATATATTCATTATCTGTTGTTACACTTTCATTGGTTACAATTTTTGGCATTGGTATTTCAGACACATTTTCAAGGTAGCTTTATTATCATCTAATATTTCATAATTAATATTAGGATCAAGATATTCTTCATTCATATACTCAAACCATTCATCATTTATGACTTATTGCATAGTTAAAAAAGATATGAAATAAAACGGACAAATTAATTTCTTAAAACAAAAAAAAAAGAGGGAAAAATTGCAATAGTAATATTGAATAGTAATATTATATTGTTAGTATTATTAGAAGCAAGGAATTAATAATATATCTGATCCAAAGCCAAGTTTTAAACACTCGCAATTAAAGAACAGGAAAGCTTGAATGAATAATGATAATGATATCAATATCGATAATATACGCACGTATATTTGGGTGAAAACCTATTACGTATATTTTTTCCTATTCCTATATATTTTGTACGTACATTATACATGTATTACATGATTTCATTCAATATCGATATTGATATCGATACCAATGCCAATCATATACGTAACATCAATCACTTATGTGAAAATATATAATTTTGTTAGCTTTGGGTTCTGATTCTTTTAAAACAAATACATATATAAAAATAAAGCTTGTACTTATGTAAAATAGAGGTTTGGCACTTGTTTTTATGCTAATTAAATACCTGGATTTATTTAGGTCAAAAAGTGTAATACAAAAATAAGTTCTTCAACTGACTTTTTTCATATTAAAATCTCGAAAAATGATCTGCAAATTTATTATAAACATGCTATTTTTTTTAAAATAATAAAAAAAAGAAGATATTTTTTTATTTTATAGTTATATACATTTCCATCTATTAGCAAATAACACATTTTCCCCTGTATTTCTTGACATGCTTGGTATGTATTTTCTTTATTATAAAAAAATTTACGTATTCGAATGTTACCGTTACTATCCACGCATGTATGTACGTATCTACGTATGTAGGCATTTCGGTATCGGCTGCGGCGAACCAATTAGAAATTCAATATCACGTAACGGTAACGGTAATGCTCAGCCATTTCTTTGTTCATCCTTTTTTATCATACGTACAAGTATTATGCTTATTGTTATCCCTAAAAAGATCTCGAAATAGAACAGTACGTACGTATTTATTCTAAAGTGTAAAGTTTTAGTTTCCATATATAGAGGGTGGGTATTTTTACTCTTCTTCATTTCATACATCTTGTGGGCGTACGTCGTATCATTTTTCATGCATCAATCGTTTGACAAACATGTGAACGACGACGACTTCCACGCCACCACATATAAATCTTCGTTTTGGACATAAATCACTGCCATCATCACTATTCAACTCAAAAATGTTATTTTTTACTCATGATTGTAGTGATTGCTTGTATTGTGAAAACAATTACTACTGCAAAGCGTGTTCAGTTCACAATATTCATGATTGTAGTAAGAACTGTTACGACTGTCAACATTGGGGTCCCTGCGATGAGTGTTCAGTTCACAATATTCATGATTGTAGTCGATGTACCAAATGTCAAAAAAATGAGTACTGTCATGGATGTTTTCGATATCACAAACGAATTTATGTTTAACAGTCTAGTGGAAATAAAGATACCGACAGTCTAATAAATGAATGCAATAATATTAATTATGGATATCAAATATTTGAATGGATCCCTTTTGAAAGATTTACCAATGTTGAATATCTTGCAAAAGGAGGTTTCGGATCGATTCATAAAGTAACACTGAACGACTACGAGAAGTGGAATCATGAAGAGAATAGATTTAAACTAAAGGAAAACCGCAA